TAATAAGGGTAAGAAGAAATTCTAATAGCCCAACATGAATGTAATCACATAGATGCCCACATCAAGGAGGAAAATCAACTCCAAGCTAAAGCATATCCAAAACATCATCTCATACGGTCTATATGCAGATCTTACTCAAATGGACATAAACACGGAGAAATCAATCAAGCTAACTTATTTTCACAAAAATCAAGTTTTTCATGAATATAAATAAATAAGGAAACACAAGAATAACTAAGACACATGAAACTAAAAAAGTAAAGTATGAGGAACTAAATACCTCAAGATAGAGTAGGAATGGAGGGAAAAAGATGAGGATAATGGGACATTATATCAACCTAGGCCTCCCAAATAGCACGGTCAACCAAATGATTCCTCCAAAGAACCTTTATGAAAGCAACTTCCTTGTATCTCAACATCCGAATTTGCCAGACACTCAGAAAATTAAGGCAGTGCAGAACTGGCCTAAACCCACATCTCCAATTAAGATTAGGAGTTTCTTGGTATTGGCTGGTTATTATAGAATGTTTGTCGAGGGGTTCTCATCCATTTAATCCCCTTTGACAAAGTTGACTTAGAAGACATCAAAGTTTCAATAGTTTGAAGCTTTTCAGAAAAGCTTTCAAAAATTGAAAACGCGGTTGACTATTACCCTAGTGTTGACCTTACCGGAGGGTACACAAGTCTTTGTTGTGTATTGTGATGCGTTCAGAGTTGGATTGGGTTGTGTATTGATGTAGAATGGCAAGGTTATAACTTATGCCTCCAGACTACTTAAGATTCACGAGAAGAATTTCCCAACCCATGATCTAGAGTTGGTTGTTGTAGTGTTCGCTTTAAAAATATAGCGTCACTAACTCTATGGTGTTTATATTGATGTGTTCACCTATCACAAGAGTTTACAATATGTATTCAGTTAGAAAGAGCTTAATCTTAGATAGAGGAGATGGTTGGAGTTACTCAAGGATAATGACATGAGTATTCTTTACCACCCAGCTAAGGCTAATGTTGTTGTTGATTCTTTGAGCAAGTTATCTATGGGTTCTACTTCCCATGTTGAGGAAGGAAAGAAAGAGTTAGCAAAATATGTGCACAAACTTTCACGATTGGTAGTTCGATTAATGGATTCTAATGAAGAAGGAGTGGTGGTGATGAATGGGGCTGAATAATCACTAGTGTCCGAAGTGAAAGAGAAACAAGACCAAGACCCTATTTTTCTTGAATTAAAGGCTTATGAGTCGGGGATTTTGACTCAATTGGAGGTTTATTTTCATTGCTGAATTTTCCTAAATGCCTAATTTATACTCTAAGCTGATGTTAAAGTGTTGATTTACAGCAAAGAAGGCAAAAGAGAAAGGCAAGGACATTACCGGGCGAAAAGGAGTGAAAAAAACTAAAAAAGGGCAATCTTGATGAGTGCCAAGACCACTCGGCGAACCACCGAGTAGTCCTTCACCTCGCCAAAAGTTACAGCGTGCTAGCTCTTGGACAAGTAAAATTCAGCAGTGGATCATACTCTTAAGCGATGCGCCGATTGGATCGGTGAGGAAGCCTTAGCCCGCCTAAAGTTACAAAATAATTAGTGAAGATGTGAGCAAAATGGTGACAAGAAGGGACAGTTGGCGCATCGCTAACTAGATCGGCACACCCGACTTAGATAGCGTAAAATCATAGCACAGATAGGGTGAAGACTCAAGCGAAAATGGCAATGGACTGGGGCATTTGGCGCGTCGCCAACATGTTCGGCGATGCTCGACTAATTTCGCTGAATTAATCCAAAGGCAAAAATCTGGGAGCGTATAAATTGAATTTTGAAAAGAGAAAGAGGTATCCAAACTTGTACTCTCTTTGGTTTCTGATCTGGAACACCAAAAACATTGTTCTTAGTAGTTCTTGAGAAGAATTTCGAATTGGATTTGATTTTAAGTTGATTCCAGGCATTGTGAAGACTTGAATTTTATTACCCAGGTGATGGAGACTATAGTTGGTAATATTTTATGACTTTTTATAATGTGTGGCTAAAACCCTTATTCTTGGGGGTTGTGATTAATTGCTCTAATTAGATTGTGGGTGTTTTAATTTACTATTCCTATGTTGATTTGAAGTGGGTTTGATAGTTAGGTGTGTTTTAATCTATGGAATGTAATTGAAATTGCAATGTTAACTTAGTATTCTAGCTTGCTTGAGAAAGAGGTTTTATAATTAAGGTTATTGATTGATGATTGTAGTGATTGGGTTATCATTGATTCAGCTTGAGAGAGTGAATCTAAATTCAATCCTATCAATCAAGCTCAAGAGAGTAGAGTCTTGGGCTGATCATATTGTTATGCTTGTCGAGGTTCGAGAGAACTCGCCTGAATCGTGTTAGTTGATCGAGAGATGGCTACCATAGTCAAAGCCTAGACTACCCATTAAGATTCAGCGTTTGTTATTAAATTAGAATCACCCATATAGCGAAATTAGTAATTCATCGATCACATCCCCGAGAATACCTCTCTACTTGATTACTACCCTATTTTTGTAGTTGTTAATTTCCACTAAACCCCCTCATTCGACACTAGTTGTCAACCATTTCAATTTACTTTAATAGTTTTGATAATGTTTACTTCTACAAACGACTAGAGCATGTTGTTTACTTCATAACTTAATTCCATTCCATCTCACTCCCTGTGGGATCGAAGCCAACTGTTCATTGGATTTATACTTGATTGTGACCGCCTACACTTAGAATTGGATGAAGAGTAGTTGAGCATAATCAAAAATGTCACCACTGCCGGGGAGTGGTGTTTAGAATTCTCTTATTGAAATTTGATTGTGATCTTTTTGTGTTGTAATTGAATCCAATTTACTTTTGTTTGTTGTTTGTTGTTTATTGTCTTTGAACAGGTGACAAAATAAGTGTCAACGAAAACAACGTTAGCCAACTTGGACACAATGATGACATTAGAAACTTGAACGATGTAAATGAAATATAGTTGGGTGGCGTAGGTGCTATCTGGTTGCCTCCAGTCATGGGAAATGCGGTTTTTCACGTGACAAGAACGATTTTAAAGTTGTTGCAAATGAAAGCTTTGTTTGTAGGCTCGGTTCGACTTCACTTGTTTCCTTTCTCTCTAACAGGGGAAGAAACGAAATGGCTAGCCGAGGTTCCAAGAAGATCAATCACATCGTGGGAGGAATTCACTGAAGCATTTTATGTAAAGTTTTTTCCTCCCTCAAAGATGGTGAAATTGAGGGACCACATTCAAAATTTTAAGTGAGTAGATGGGGAGCCTATTCATGAAACATGGCTGAGGTTTCAGAAATTGCTGCTCAAATATCCGACCCATGGACTCCCGAACAATATGTTCTTGCAATACTTTTACCGGAGCCTCGATTCAGTTAATAAAGAGGTAGAGGACCAGCTTGTTCTATGAGGAATCATGCAACAACCGTTCGCTATAGCTTCTACTCTTCTTGATGAAATGATAAAGATCAATAGCGCATGGTACACTAAAGAAGACCAGGTGTCTTCATTGAATTTTGGGATGACAAAAGAGAGAGTGGAGAAAAACCAAGAACGGGATGAAAACATAGCCAAGATGATGTCTCAAATGGTGTTGCTTAACGACAGGTCCTGGGGAGTATTTTTTAAAAAACAATGAGGTGAAAAGGGTGTCAAGTTTAGAGGAGGGTTCTTGCCCGGACTCCTTAAGGTCTGGTGAGACTCAAGGTTGGAACACGTTTGGTGGAAATGGAAGGAGAAGATACAAACAAGATCTAGGTAACTATGATGAATATTATACGCCAAGGAGTGGCAGCACAAGGTCTAGAGACAGTTCCAAAAGTTGTTGGGGGGATGAGATGCTAGCCCAAATTCTGAATAAGGTTGAAGGATCAGACGACATGCTTAAAGAAATGAAAGCTGACTTCTCGTCCTTGAATGACAAAGTAAATTCTCACTCAGAATCTATCAGGCAACTAGAATGGTAGATGAATCAACTTTCTGCCCAAATGGAATCCAAGCCATTAGAGAGGTGTGCAAATGAAGATGTGGTGAATTTAGAAGATGATCATGAAAATTTCTTAGTAGTATTAACGCGGAGTGGGAAGGTAGCAGGTGGTGATGTGAAAGTGAGTAGTGAGGCAAATTCTAGTAAGGAAAAGGAAGTCACCATTGATGTAGAGGAGTCCAACTAAGTACCGAAAAATGACACCAATAGATGTTGAAGAAACTCCACAACAAAACATCACCGAGGAATTCCAAACACCTAGGGAAGGGGCTGCCAAATCTTCAAAACCGATAAAAGCATTTCCCAAAATCAATCCACCATTTCCTCAGAGACTCAAAAAGTGGGATGAGGATGAAAGGTTCAAGAATTTTATCTCCGTGTTTAAAACCTTGTTGATAAATCTTCCTTTGGTGGAGCATTGTTGGAAATTCCCGGTTACACCAAGTTCATGAAAGAGTTGGTCACTAAGAAAAGGAGCATGGATTTTGAAACATTTGAAGTGTCTCACAGCTGTAGTGATATCATGACTAGCAATGTGGTTAAAAAGAAAACTGATCCGGGGGCGTTTACCATCCGTTGCACTATTGGTATGTTTCAATTTTCCAAAGCATTATGTGATTTGGGGGCTAGTATTAACTTGATGTCATATGCCATTTAAAAACAGCTTGGATTGGGTGTAACTAAGTTGACAGCAATGCGGCTCCTTATGGCTGATCATTTTATCAAACATCCCATTGACATACTCTACTATATTTTGGTGAAAGTGGATAGATTCAAATTTCCAGCCAACTTTGTCATTTTGGATTGCGAAATTGATACCGAAGGGCCTATTATTTTGGTTAGGCCATTTTTGGCAACCGGAAAAGCTCTCGTGGATGTTGAAAGTGGTGAGTTAAAGTTTTGAGTGAATGATGAGGAAGTTACTTTTAATATGTGCAAATCAATGAAGCAGCCTAGTGATATTCATGTGGTCTCAACAATCGATGTGATTGACGAAGCAGTGGCTAGTGTTAGTGAGATGTTGTGTATGGGTGAACCCCTTGTTGTGATCCTTTCAAATTATGATGAGGAAGAGGTCCAATGGTATGATGAAGTTGTGGCTGCTCTAATGGGATTAGGTGCTTATTATAAAAATACATTGAAGCTCGATATTGCTCTAAAAATTGAGAACCCCTCCCCCCTACAAAACCCTTCACGGAAGAACCCCAAAAGTTTGAATTGAAAGTGCTACCATCTCATCTTTGGTATGTATTTCTGGGAGCGAACAACACCTTGCTTGTCATCATCACAACAGACTTTCTTGATTGGCAAGTTAAATTGCTTATTGAGGTGTTAAAACGGTATATTAAGGCCATCGGGTGGACAATTTCTGATATTGTAAGGATTCCCCCCTGGTATTTTCACTCATAAAATCCAATTTCATAGTGAATTCAAACCAAGTGTTGAGCATCAAAGAAGGTTGAATCCTCCTATGCAAGAGGTGGTAAAGAAAGAAATCATCAAGTGGCTAGACGCGGGAGTGGTATATCCTATTACAGACAGTAAATGGGTAAGTCCCATACAATATGTACCGAAGAAGGGAGGCATCACAATGATTGCAAATGAAAAAAGAGAACTTGTACCTATGAGGGCGGTCATCGAGTGGCGAGTATGTATGGATTACCAGAAATTGAATGCATGGATCGAGAAAGATCGCTTTCAAATACCATTTATGGACTAAATACTTGATAGGCTTGTGGGACATGGATGGTATTGTTTTCGAGATGGCTATTTCGGATACAACCAAATTTCTATTACACTGGAAGATCAAGAGAAAACCACGTTTACGTGCTCCTATGGGACTTTTGCATTCAATAGGATACCGTTTGGGCTATGCAATGCTCCGACAACATTTCAACGTTGTATGCTTTCAATTTTTACAGTTATGGTGGAGGACTCAATGGAGGTATTCATGGACGATTTTTTAGTCGTTGGTGATTCTTTTGAAACATGTCTTGAACATCTTGGGCAGGTTCTACAAAGGTGCGTGGAAACCAACCTAGTTCTAAATTAGGAGAAGTGTCATTTCATGGTAAAAGAGGGAATAGTTTTGGGGCATAAAATTTTAAGTGAAGGAATGTAAGTAGATCAAGCAAAGGTCGAGGTCATTGAAAAGATCCATCCTCGTATTTCGGTGAAAGGTGTGACGAGTTTTCTAGGTCAGGCGGGTTTCTACGGGTGGTTTATCAATTATGTTTCCGAAATAGCTCACCCTCTTTGTATATTTCTAGAGAAGGAATCAACCTTCCATTAAGATGACGCTTGCCTCAAAGCGTTCTTGTGCTTGAAGAAAAATTGGTGCCAGCCCCAATCATTGTTGCTCCTGATTGGAGCATCCCGTTTGAACTCATGTGTGATGCTAGTGGTATTTCTTTGGGGGTTGTTCTTGGTCAAAGAAAAGAGAAACTATTCCATCTGGTTTATTATGCAAGTAAAACACTAAACGTGGCTCAAAAGAAATGTACGGTCACGGAGCAAGAGTTGCTAGTCAGTAGTGTATGTATTTGAGATATTCCGAGCATATTTGTTGGAAACTAAAGTAGTGGTGCACACGGATCATGCTGCAATTAGATATTTGATGGCCAAGAAAGATGTAAAGCCAAGATTGATTCAGTGGATGTTGTTGTTGCAAGAATTTTATTTCGAAGTGAAGGATCAGAAGGGATGTGAAAACCAAGTGGCAGATCATCTATCTCAGTTAGAAACCAACCTAGTTGATTGCAATGAGAGGGACATTATGGAGGAATTTCCTGACGAAACAGTGATGAGGGTGACCCAAGGAAACTCACCTTGGTATGCTGACTTTGCCAACTATGTAGTGTGTGGAATAATACCCTAGGGCCTAAACTTCTATCAACAAAAGAGATTCGTGTTCAATGTAAATAGGTATTTTTGGGATGAAACATATATATATCAAAGAATGTGTAGATCAGATCATTCGAAGATGTGTACCAAAAGAGGAAGTCAATGCAATTCTCAATGCTTTCCACGCTTCGCCTATCGGTGGACATCATAGCGGAGTGAGAACAGCCGCTAAGGTGCTTCAAAGTGGCTAGTATTGGCCATGACTATACCAAGATGCACATGGCTTTGTTAAACAATACACATAATCCCAAAATCAAGGAGGGGACATCAAGAAAGCATGAGATACCTCTTAATCCCATCCTATGAATTGTTTGATTTTTGGGGAATAGATTTCATGGGTCCGTTTGTGAGCTCATACGAAAACAAGTACATTCTGGTAGCAGTTGATTATGTTTCAAAATGGGTGGAATATATAGCTTTTCCCAACAATGAGGGCAAGAGTGGTGTACAATTCTTAAAGCGCTACATTTTTTAAGGTTTGGTACCCCGCGTGCTATTATTAGTGATGGAGGGTCTCAATTTTGCAACCAGATGTTTTCTTTGTCGTTAAGAAAATACAAAAGCAAAGACAAAGTCGCAACACCCTACATCCACAAACAAGAGGCAAAGTTGAGGTTTCAAATCGAGAGATCAAGGGTATTCTTGCGAAAACAGTGAATGCAAATCAGACGAATTTGTCTCAAAAGCTTGGTGATGCGCTTTGGGCGTATCGCACCGCTTTCAAAACACCAATTGGCATGTCACCATATCAGTTGGTATTTGGTGAATCTTGTCACTTGCCAGTCAAGCTTGAACAAAAGGCACTATGGGCGTTAAAGGCGTTAAATCTGAATTGGGAGAATTCTTCGAAAGGGCGAGTAAATCAACTTCATGAATTGGAAGAATTTCGGTTGAGAGCATATGAAAGTTCAGTCCTTTATAAGGAGAAAATGAAGAATTTTGGAAGTCTTTCCAGAAAGGTTTGGGTTCGAAGGTGAACCTTAGTACTGCTTTCCATTCTCAAACGGATGGTCAAGAAGAGCATACGATTCACACATTGGAGGATACGTTGAGGGCGTGTATGATCGATTTCAAGGGTAATTAGGATGATCATTTACCTCCCATTGAGTTTCCTTACAATAACAATTATCACTCTAGCATCCAGATGACTTTTATGAGGTTGTTTATGGGAGAAGATGTAAATCTCCTATTGAATGGTTTGAAGCCTTTATTTGAAGATTTCACCCTTGAAGGGTGTTATGAGATTTGGTAAGAAGGGGAAGTGTCATACCCCGAGCCTACACCCTGGACGTGGCCGACACTCGAGAACCATTGCTGGCCCCAAGCAAGCCATTGGCCTGGCTCAACTCTCAGTGGAAGACTTACTCAAAAAATAAAAGAACTTTTTAAAAAGTAACTTTACTCAACTGTCTAAAAAGTAAACTCAGAATATCTTAGAAATAAAACATTCACCAGCCAAAAGTGGCAACTCAAGTCTTTAAACATTAAACACCGAAAATGTAAAGACTCATGAACTAATACTGTCTATCTATCTATGAAACCTCTAATACTAAGAGGATGTCGGGACAAAACCCCTGATCATCCTAACAAATTGAAATATTGGAAAGTAAAGAAGGGATCCTTCGGAAGCAAGAAAGCTCACCGATAAAATCTGGAACTCAACTAGATCAACGAAGCGCTAGTTGATGCATCATGAAAGATGCAGGCCAAATAGCGTCAGTACATGGAATGTACAAGCATGTAAGGGGAAAACTAAAGCATGACATAAGTTTGAACTGGAACTGAAGAAACAATTTACCTCGTCTCAACTCAACTCAATCTCAACTCATTTCAAGATAAAGCAGTGATAAAAATGCAATATAAAAAAAAGCTTTTAAAAATAGTAGATAGCAACTCAATGTATTGAAAAATACAATATAACTCAGTTTGTATGTAAAAAATACAAAATAAACTCTGTTTGGAAGATTCTCTAACCGACAACCATCACTATGAGCTAAGTGATGATACAGTGTCTCACCCACGCTACCAGAACTGTCCTATACCTTGCCGGGGTATAGAAATCCTCAACTAAGTGGATCCACTAGTCTATGCTTAAAAGCAATAATGAATCATCTAAAAAGTATGACCCTTTATATCCATCTTGGCTACATGGTTTATGGGTTGTGAGTTGTTTAAACTCTCCCCCATATCGGTGCTCAATAATACTCCCAAAATAAAACTTAGCTCACATATTTTAAAGAAAACATTTCCTCATCCTCAACTTTGAGATTATTACTCAAAAGATTTCTCTAAAAAGAGATAGTGCTCAAAACTCCTCATAACTCATTTGGAAATCTCAGTTTCCTCCTCTTTTAAAATGAGAAAACATTTACTCTTGGGATACTTAGTTCCCATATATTCATTTTGAAAAAAAATGAACTCAACTTTACTCATCCTCATACTCAAGTACTCAAGTTTTAAAATAAGTTTTAAAACAATGTAAAAGACTTCTCAAAAAGACTCGAAAAAACTCTCAAAACTTAGCTCTTAACTCTACCTTGAATATGATTTATGACTTCAAGGTTATATAATGATTTTAAACACCCAAACCCAATTCATTCTCTCAAATTCTCAAAAGAAGATCAAGCTCCTCCTCTTAAATATTTCTCTCTCTAGAAGTTGAAGAAGAAAGATAAGGTTTCAAGATCAAGCCTCTAAATCCTCCATTGCTTCCAAGCTTTTGACATCAAGTTATGATAGTTTTCATCTATGGAGCCCTTTCCTCCATGGATTTACAAAATTCTCCAATTTTGAAGTTAGAAATCTCCAATTGAAGTTAGGGTTTTCTTCCATGTCATGGGTTCATTTCAATTTTGATTTATTTGATTGATTTATGAAATGTTATGCATGAATTAAAGTAATTCCATGTTTTTAAGTCGATTTCCCATGAACTCATGCATAACCTATGTTTTCTAAGCTATGTTGTCATAATGTGGTATTGAACTATGAAAGATGAATTTA